ACCTCCACCCTACCACTGGAATTTTTATGTTATAGTAGCCAATAAATTCCACCCTGTGGTTTTTATGATATTTAAGTTGGATTTTATGCCATCTACCAACAAAAGCATCTAAACTGGCATAGCCTTTTTTGGTGACTGAACTGCACCTCTGAAGACCCTATGATATTTTCAGCCACTCCATGTGACAGCCTCAGGAGCAGCTGAGGGAATCCATCACCACTCCTTCGGAGGCCCTGTCACCATTGGAGGACAGCGTGCCCCTGTTCCTGGGGAACCTGCTCCCTGTACCACAGTTAGCATTTCGGGGAAGGGCTGGGGACAGCCCATCTTCCCCGACCTTGCATCTCTCCATTTCACAATGCCACAGGGAGAGAATTACTATTATTATGTAACTTAAGACACGTGGCTTTGAACCCCTTTGTTTTCAGGGCCTCTCAGAACCCCCTTGCAATACTTGGAGACCGGCGCTTCTAACACTGTGGGATAGTTACAAGAGCAGAGGTGGAAGCTCACACACCAGATGCCTGAGTATTTGCGTTATAACCAAACTAACAGACTGTTCTTAAATATGTTCTCTCTGGGGCGCCTGGGTGGCTTAGTCGGTTAAGCATCTGACTTTCGCTTAGGTCATGATCTCGCGGTTCGTGGGTTCGAGCCCCACGTCGGGCTCTGTGCTGACTGCCAGCTCAGAGCCTGGAGCCTGTTTCAGAGTCTGTGACTCCCTCTCTCCCTGACCCTGCCCTGCTCATGCTGTCTCTCTCTCTCTCTCCTAGAAATAAATAAAACATTAAAAACTTTTAATAAAAAAAAAATATGTTCTCTCTGCTTACCTGACAGTCACACCTTCATAAAGCCCTGGAAGGCTAGGTTTGAATTTGGAACATTTAGATTCCTCCAAGTTCTGTAGCAGCACGAGGAGGGCAAGGCTCAGCCCACACTGAGAGGGGCCTCGTGTGTACCTGTGTGGAAACTCCGGCCCACATATCCCAGTCTCATCCATAACCCCTATACACAGCTTGTCCCTGGTCACCCCTCATGCTTAGAGCTGTGTGCTGGTCACACTCAGGAAGACAAACATGGGGAAGAGGCCTCAGGCTCAGGACCACTTGGGTGGGAAGTGTGGTCTCCTGGGGACCTGGAGCATGGTCTGGGAGAGGGGCGTCCAGTACCCATGTCCCCTTGGCCTCTCAGACTCCCTGCGCTGTGGAGAGGATCGCGGCCAGAGAAGGGCCAGGCTGGTGCCCTCTGAGGCAAGAGACCCAGGACAGGGCCCCTCGTGGCCAGGTCTAAGGGCAGTGCTGGAACTCCATTCTAAACATGGTCCTAAAATAAGGCTGGGATGGGCTAGGTTAGCAAGACCAGGCTCTGTGGCCCTGGCTAAATCTCTCCGTATCTCTCAACCTCCGTTTCCTCCCTTGTCCCTGAGGGGGTGGGACTGCTCCTATTCTAGAACCCTCTGCAAAGCCTCAGAAGCAGTGAATTCAGACCCCTCATTCCAACCAGTAATGCTGGGACTCTGGTCCAAAACCCCCAGGGAAGAGAAAGCCACACTGGGGAAACAAATTGCTTATATTTCTTGATTTCCCATCTGAGGATACCAGCATGAAGGTGCGGCTTTACACGGGAGCAACATCACCCCAAGGTGTGCAGTAGAGCCTGGGGGAACCCAGCTGGCCAGTATGTACATCTCTGGAGACCTCGCCCTTGGGCTGATCCCATTAGCTACAGACCACTAGTGATGGCCTGATGTGCCCGAAGCTCTTGTCTGCTGAGTCCCCAAGACTCAGGCACATTAAAGTGCTCTGCATAAAAGCCCAACAGCGTCCCTCCATCTGATAACAAACAGGCAAATCCCACTAGAGGCCTGCCATTAGGGAGACATCTTTCCAAAACAAAGCTAAGCCCCACTCGGGAAAGATGGTGGTACAAGGCAGCTCATAGCCATGCCAGACTAACGACGCTGCAGAAACATGGGGGGCTAAGGTATGTGAGGGCAATGCTGTGCACTCCAGAGACACAAAGGGAAGGCCACAGGGTATACACAAGAGTCAACAGGCAGCCAGGAGCTGGAGCTCAGAACAGAAACAGTCTCTGCCTAGAACAGGTACTCAGTCGTAGGGCCTCAGATGGGGAAACCCAGGGTGGTGTCTTCCTAAGGACCGGAAACACCAAAAGCCTGCCCAGGTGTAGACTCAGGAGGCCACGCCCTCTGGTAGTGAATTTCCTGGACAAGAGATGGACATAAGGGACGTTCACAAGACAGAGGTCAAAGTACTGAGAGCCACCAGGTCAAGGTGTTGCCGGGGATGGTGAAACTGTAGGAGCTACCCTCTTGGGAAACAAGCAGAAAGGCCACTGCTCTGCTGTTCACATGCTGAGCATCCCAGCTGGGCCGCCACCCTCTCCCAGGGGCAGAGCACCGGTTTGGTGGCCTTCTCAGGGCTTGTTCACAGTTGGGTCTCTTCTTGGGGGAGCTGCGTCCACATGAGGCTGTGCTGGGCCATGGCCAGTTGAGGGGTTCCTCAGCGGGTCCAGAGCTGGGAGCCACTCCAAGAAGGCGGGCTCACTTCCCTGCTTTGTGGTTCGCAGGCCTGGAGAGACCTGACAGCCAGCTGCCCCAGGTGAGAATGCCCACATTGCTGGAGGTCAGAGGAGCCGAGAGGCCTGTCCACCACATGCCCCAAATGGGGTGATGACAAATTCGAAAAGCCCTGCAGGTCTAGGTGTGGGTAACAGTTGTGAGCCAAGTCCATGGTCTGGGTCAGTAACATTCCGGAAGAAAAAGGGCACTGTAGGTCGGCAATTTGGCTGGATGGTAGCAATGGGAAAAGGTTCCCAGGGGGAGCATGTGGAAGGTTCTCCGGGACTTTGGTTAAGACAGGGTGCAGTGGTCCTAAGTTCTTCCGGTTGGATCGAGTTAAAAGCATGTCTTAGCAGCAAGGTTTGTCCTTGTTTTTGTCACACGAAGGTGGTGGAAAGTGGACCGGGGGGGTGCAAAGTCAATGCGATGGCTGGGGAGAAGCTGCCGCCGACCCTGTGGGATGCAGCCCTCCTCCTCCTCAGGCCTTTCATGTGAAGTAGCGGCAGGACGTGGAGTCAATGTAGCAGTACGGGGTGCACTGCAGGTCCCCATATGACCTGAGGGGGGCAGATACGGGTCAGGATGCATGGGGCAGTGGGCACAACAGCTCCTGCCTAGGCATGTTCTAAAAGGCCACCTCTGGTGACGTTTGATCCAACCTCATCAGACAACTGTCCCTGCTGCTACCTTACTAAAGGGCCTTGGGGTTTGACAGAGTGCTCTCATTCTCATTTGGGGTAAGAGGCTTGGGGCAGTTGAGGTCAGGCCTCTGCAACTTTTCCCCTTGAGGCCAGCTGAGGGATCTATGTGGAAAGAGTTGGGAACAATGTTCTTAACACAGCATCTCTGAGAGAATCACTCCCTTCTCAAGACCTGAAAGGTTTCTGGTGCTGTCCACCAATCATACTGTACTGATGCAAATATTCTATTTCTGTGCAGTCCAGTCTGGCAGCCTCTAGCCATACGTGTCTACTGAGGTCTGAAAATAAGGCTAGTATGACTGAATAACTGATTTTTAATTTTAATTAAAGTTATATAGCAATGTGTGGCCACCAGATGGGACAGCACAGCCTAGACCTCTGTAAGCCCAAATGCTAATGTATAATGGTTATACATTATACCCATATTCACAAGCATCCCCTGAGGCTTCTAGAGATTCCCTGAGTAACCCCAGGGAGCTAGTGGGTGAGCCCCGGGCTCTATGCAGTCCCATGTTCCATGTCCAGTCGTCTATACTGACCTGTCTCCATGAAGCCATCAACTAGCTTAGACCTGCCACCTCTCTGACAGGCGCCAGAGGACAGGGCACTTCAGGGACACTTCAGGGATAGAACATACAGACACAGAGATGCAGTCGGGTCCTGGCCAAGCCTAAACTGCTTGGAGTTTGGGGGTGACCACAGGTCTGTAGTTCTCCCGGCCTGGTTTGAGATGCTGATGTGTGTTTGCGGGGACTGGGCGCTGAGGAGACCTCCTTGGAAGAGAGAGCGGACAGAGAGGGTGACAGAAAGACAGGACTGGTGTCTATTCCCCAGCCCTACTGAGGGTCTGGACCCACGCTTACCACAGGAACAGGGTTGAAAGCAAAGACTGAAGAGACTGGACTCCTGAAGGACCTAGGAGGTGTGAGGGGCCAGCGATCCATGCTGAAGCCAACGGAGAAGCAGGAACTAGGGAGGAAAGCCTTCTCATTTTCCCGAGAATGCTATACAACTCTGCATCTGTGGCGATTAGGGGGAGTGCGGTGTGGTTTTGCATTTCACAGGGCCAGGGTCCTTCAGCTGGCTTGGGAGATGTCAACCATGGAGGTCAATGTGAACACCCACCAGAGAGCCCCAGATAGAACTAGAAGGGTCCCTGAAGGGGGTGCTAAGTTCTCGGGGTTTTCCTGGAGCAGTCATGAGCCAGCAAAATTAGATGTTAATGCTGGTGTGATCTCATCTGCACCCCAGTCCTGCCCCGGGGGCTGGGAGTTGTTCCAGAGAACTCCGGTTATACAGACACTTAGATTCTTGGAAATGCCCTGGCACCTCCACCCTCCACTGGGCTTCCTCCAGACCCACTTTCCAGAAGACTAACGTGGTCATGGCAGCCACTGCGGTTGGGAGGCTGCTCACCCAGGGGCAACAGCTGCACATAGAGACTGCTGATTGCCAGGGGCCCAGGATGGAGCTGGTGACTGAGCTCGGCCTCAGAGGCACCCAGCCACCCTGAGAGGGCGTATGGTGGTTATATGTTTACTGCCTGTCTCCCTTAGGTGAGCAGGGACGGTGTGTTGTGCTATTTGTCACCATACCTCACTGTCTAGAAAGTACCAGGAACATAAGAAGCATTAAAAAAAATATCTGTGAAGGAAAGAGGAGGAGACAGGCAGAGAGGGAGGCAGGGGTGTCATAACAGCATGCGAGGTGATTCCTACCCAGGGAGATAGGTCTCACACGTCAGGTGGCCAAAGTCAGAGCCGTCACAGTCCTCCACACCCTTGTGCTGGTGTCCATCTCCACAGTAGGCCCGGTGACAGCCTGAGGGACACAGGGAAATGTAGCCCTGAGAGGGGGCTGGGGTGGGACGGGCTCACCTTAGCCTATAAGGACTGTGTGGCCTAAAGGATCCATCCACCCAGAGCATGTACCCTCTTAAACGGACTCCCAGAAAGCTTCAGACACTTCCGGGGACCACCCCCTCAGAACCCCAAATCCCACGCCAGAGAATAAGGAGACCCAAGCTCCAGCCCACTCCAGTACTTGTTAGCCGACAGAGCGAGAGCAGGCCCCTTGGCCTCTCGGAGCCCCAATATCCCTATCTCAAAGCTGGGGTGTGGACACCACTTCACAGGGCACGCTGTGGGTTCCAATGAAGTGAGAATCAGGAGACCGTGTGCCGGGCACAAGTGATGGCCATGGTGGCTCTAGTCTACAGAGAACTTCCAGGACCCTGAAAGGTGACCCTGCGATCCCCAGACGATCTTCACCAGATAGTTCTCACACAAGGGAAGGACCTGGGAGCATGAACCCCACTCTCATCTTACAGGGTTCCTTCCTGCTGTTGATGTTGTCTGCACCAGGGGCAGAAGGGATCTGCCCTTCTCCAGGACTCCAGGCAGAGCTGGCATGCCGGGGATCACCATCCCGGGAACTGTCATGGGAAGGACAACTACAGAGAGGGCGCTGGCCACTTCTCGGTCCCTGCACCCATCCCTGAGCGTTTACACACCCCTACACCTGAGCCAGGCCGGCTCCTCACAGCAGGGGCTTAAAAATAATTTGGTGAAAGGATGTCAAACCCTTACTATACCCAGATGACCAAGTGCACATTAGCGCACAGAATCTCTAAAGAGCTGAGTGGCTGGCACCGACACAGTCGAGGAAAGTGAGACTTGGAGCTGTGAACTGCCCTCCGTCACCCCACTCACTGATAGCCTCCCTCAGGAGCATTCAAACTCTCTTCCGTCTGGTTCCAAATCCCCTGCTTTCTACCTCACCGTCTGTTTTTGTCATGTGATTTTAAAAAAAAAACCAGAAAGAAAGCGAACCCTCCAGTGCGGTGCCGCCTGCCCATCCCAGTAGCCCATCCACATGAAGTCTGCTTCCCCCCTAAAAGGGCTTTGCCACTAAGGCTCCATCTGGTAAAAGTCCTGATGCAAATTCTTGACTGCTCCCTTTTGTCTTTCACTGTATCACCTTTATCTTTTGATAAAGAATGTGGACTGGAATATTCTGGATTTTACCAAGAAGTAGGATTCAGGGAAAAGGAAGGACTGGTGGCTTCTCTGGGGGCCAGACCCTTGACACTAACCCACAATGACATGCTCGGGCAGTGAAAAGTCAGCATTCGTCCTGAATGGGAGGGCCGTCCCCACAGCAGCCCAGGGGTACCCCCTCTGACTCGGAGGTCATCCCAGCCCACCAGAGCTAGCATCCCGGGGCTTGCCCTCCCTCAGCCAGCTGGCATTCAGGCCCTCCCATGATGGGCCCCACTCACTGATGCAGCCATCACCCACGTCGTCGTTCCCGTCATCACACTCCTCACCTGGCTGCAGGACCCCGTCCCCACAGGAGCCGCGGTGGTCCACAGTGTAGTCCACAGGGTAGAAAGGGGTTACCTGGCCGAAGAAACATAGGACAGTTACCAGGGGTGAAGTGACAGGTCATTGGCACTGGGGATGGAGGCCCTGGGTCTTGGCGGGAAAGGCACCCTTCTTTGGGCAGAGCTCTGCACTTGGCGGGAAGGCTGGGCCAGACCAAGACAGTGTCCTGGCAGCGTGGGGGCAGGAGACCGCCTGGAACCCTGGCTCAGAGAGGAGGTCCTCTCTGGCGGACAGGGGCACGGAGAGCTGCTCAGAAGCAGAGAAGAGGAGGAGGCCCAGCCCTTCCATGGAAACAGACTACAGGAAGCTCTGCCCCAGGCCTGACCCATGGCCCTTCTTTCCTCTCATGTTGTGTCCCTCTCTGGGGCGGGGTATGTCCTGAGTGTCTGCCTCAGGGTACCTGGATAGGGAGCCAGCCAAGGCTGTCCTTGAAGTACAGAGATCTCTGGTCTTTGCGGAAGGCGATGGCATTTTGGGTATTCAGCCTCTCGAGCTCTTCCTGGTTGTTGACCACAAAAATCTGCCAGGGAACACACTGGTGAGGATTCCAGAAATCACTTCTATAGGGGGCAGGGGAAAAGCAGGAAGAGGAAACGGAATCTCCATCCTTGGGCTGGGTAACAGTAGGGGGAAGGGAGTCTGCATATCACACTCTGGAGCTCCTCCCAAAGGTGGGAGGGATGTCCTGATTCCCACATCTCAACCCAGCTCCTAAGGTCTGGGTGTGCAATGAGAACATCCACGATTTACAATTTTTAAACACTGAAAATGTTCCCGACACTTAAATAAAAGGGTGATGTCATCTAATCAAGTAATTCAACATCTGGAAAAGATTCTTAACAAAATTGTTATACTCAAAGGGGTTCATTATAGTTTTATTTACATTAGTGAAAAGCCTGGGAGAACCTTACAAGTATCCGACAGTAGAGCCCTGGCTCAATAAATCACAGCGCAGCCGCACGATGGATGGACGAGTACACGTGCATTCAAGTGATGAGGTAATCCAGGGTTACCTCAAAATAATCCAAGGGAGGGTGGGCAGTAGTGAGTGCATATAGGGACAAAACAGGATTAGCCAGCAGTTGATACGTGTTGAATTTGTGTGAAGGTACATAGAGGTTCGTTATACTATTTGTTCTGCTTTTACATTTACTTGAAATTTTCTGTAATTTTTTGTCCTTAAAAAAAGACAAAGAAAATACTTTGAAAATACTTAAATTGGACCCACTACCAAATGGGCAATTTGGTTTCCTACTCTTGATTTTTCCCTTATTTTCCAATTCCCTTAATGAGTGTGTACCAGGTATAACGGGGAAACCCGTTTTATTAAAAGGCTTTTACAAAGCTCATAGAGGATCAGGTGAGAGGTCCCGATGGACAGCTACCAGATTTTCTCCCGGGAGCCTTACCACAGGAACATGCGGGGACCTGGAACCATACATGGATTCCCCGTAGGAGGGGTTATTCACATTCGTAGGGGGTCCACAAAGACAACTTCCTGGAGGCCCGGGAAATCCTCTGTCCCCTTTGGGTCCCATCACAAGTTGTTCTAGGAAGCAACAAAATGCTGTGTTACTAGAACGAAGAAAGCAAAAACCAAACAGCCCGGGGAGATGTGAGCAACCTTCACAACACAAAGAAGGTCAAAGTCCACAGCATCTTACGGTAGGCCCTGGGAAGAGGCTCAAAGAGACTCTTGATGCAAGATACAGAGGAGGTGGTTTTCTGTGGGTCCCTTAACCACACTGAGTGTTAAAGCACTTTCCCCAACTCTCCATTCCCTTTCTCTATATTTTAGAAACTTGACAGATATTCTACTTCCCAGGCTACCTTGTATGCAAGGTCTGTAATGGGAGAAGGGTTACAAGTAAGCATCTGAGAAAGTCTATTCTGATAAGGAAAAAACATAGCTGGTGAGAGACCTAGCTTCCTCCTCCTTCCTGTCTAGAAGACAGACACCATGTCTGGTGCTGCAGCAGCCACATTGCAACCATGAGGTAATAGGTATGAGAGAAACCAACATACAGGAAAGACCAGGGGCTCATGGGGTGACACTTAGAGGCTGAACCAAAGTCAGCCACTGTCAACGTCTCTGGACTTCCTGGTATGAGAAAAACAATCTCCTTTTTGTTTAGACTATTATTAATAGGGACTTCCTGCTAATGAACACAATGCTGACTGATAACTTTTATTATTACTTTTATTCATTTTACTTTGTTCTTATTTATAAGATCTTTACAAAAGAATTTCTGAAGGTGGGTTTCTTTGATTCCTTCTGGAAGAAAATGGAATGTCTGAAAATGCTCCACCTACTTATTCTCCACTGATATTGAGAAGAGTGTCATGAACATATATGATTAAGAAATTTACTCCCTGCAGTGTGGGTGACCTGCTTGGGTGGTAGTTTTCACCTAGACTTTTAAAGGTCCTAATGTCCAGGCCACACCCCAGACCAAGTCCATCAAGAATGAGGAGAATAGAACCCAGGCATCCATACTTTTAAAAGCTCTCAAGATGATTCCAATGTACACGAAGGTTGAGAATTGCTGGTCTAAGGAAACAGTATTTGCACTAGCCATTTCCCTAGACTGTTCCTTCAACTCCATCCCTCCCTCCCCAGGTGCCTCCCAGCTAGCTCCTGATCTGAATTCAAACATCATTCCTACAGGGAAGCCTTTTGAATCTTTACACTCTGGCATGTTCACCTTGGGTAATTTCACAATTCCCTATGCCTTTTCTTCGCAGCACTTATCTCTGTGATTTTGTATCTTGTGAGATTATCTGATCAACGTCAATCTCCCCCAGTGGAATATCAGCTCCACAAAGGCAAGATTGATACCCGTTTTCATTCACAAGGGCTGGATACGCAGTAGGGGCCTGATACATGCTTGATGATGGAATGAATGAATGAATGTAGACTAACTGGAAAGAAAAGGTCTTCAGAAAAGTCTAAAAATAATAACTCCAGTTGGTAGAAAAGAACGAGAGCAAGAGCCATCTAACAGGGAGAGTGGAAAGAAAGGAAACATGGAGACTGACAAAAGATGTAAGTGGGGCGCCTGGGTGGTTCAGTGGTTGTGTTTGACTTGGGCTCAGTCATGATCTCATGACTTGTGAGTTCTAGCCCCACGTTGGGCTCTGTGCTGACAGCTCAGAGCCTGGGGCCTGCTTCAGATCCTGTGTCTTCCTCTCTCTCTGACCCTCCTCCACTCATGCTTTCTCAAAAATGAATAGATGTTAAAAAAATTTTTTAAAGGATGTAAGTAAGTACTCCTCCTCCTGGAAAAGTAAGGGGGTGTCTGGAGACCAGACAGTCACTGGTTTCAGGTTATATAACTTCCCAGGACAGCCAGCAACTAGGGACACAGTTGGCAGATTCCAGAAGGATAGAAAGCAAAATGACCCCAGGGGAGAGGTGTGGTCAGGACCCCAAGGAAGCAGCTTCAGCTACCTCCCCACAACCTTGAGCCTTCCTGAGCTGATGGACAGATATGTGCTAGAGCAGAAGAATGCCAGCACGAGGGGAAGGGAGGCTTGCCAATCTGATACCAGCTATGGCAATGGCTTGGACAAGAACCAGGAATATAGTGCTGTAGGAGGGGCTCCGGTCCTGTGTTCTGATGTTTTCAGCATAGCCCGCAGAGACACGGACTCCACCAGCCCAGGTCATTACCACCCCTGGGGAAACTGAAGTGCGAATGTTCTGTAATCAAGGATGTGTGAGTGGCATCGGAGAGGCTCTGTGACCCCAACAACTCCTCCAGAACCATGGCCTCGGAGAGGGTCAGGTGTTTGTCCCATTGTCCAGCCAATAAGTGGTGAGGCTAAGATTTGAATTCATGTATGACTTCACACTGTGCCGTTCAAAAGACAAACGTCCAAGAATATTGATGCTTGCAGGAAGCCGGCAATCCCCAGGTACCACCGTGATTCACTTATACCCTGTCTGGGTGCAGGAAAAATTCACTCAGATTTGTAATTTGGTTATGTACAGCAAATCACATCCTAGAGGCATTTTGTCCGGATTCCCTCTGCCACCTCCCAGCACCTCTTTCTCTAACTTGGGTGATAAAGAGCCCCCTCCCCCGTCCATCCCTGAGCACTGTCCAGCCCATAGCTCTGGGCACCAGAACCAGAGGTGGCCTCCAGATAGGACGACAGGACGTGGCAGGGAGCCCACTTCCTGCCTCCACCACAGTTTCTCTGCAGCTCACTCTCAGCTGTTAGAGGGCATCTGTTACCCCGCCTGTTTCCTGCCAGATCCACTGAAGGGCACAGCAGCTGGAACTTCCCCACCTCGGCCTCTCAGAGCTGGTCCAGCGGGCCCGCCTGATCCACCGTCCCCTGGAGCCGGAGGACCTGGCTCTCCACCTTTGCCCAGACTGCCTCCCACCACCGCTGGCTGTGTGGTGGTCACGGGCCTGGCAGGGGACTCTGGGAGGAGGCGGAGGACCCACAGAATAGTCTCCACGTCACCCCCAGCTCCTACTTTGCCTCAGCAGAGACTTCATGGCTGAGTGGGAAGGGGCTCGGGACCAGGAGCCACGGACTGATTCTGGGCCGGGCAAGGCAACCAGTCTGCTCTGTGACCTCCGGGGAAGTCCCTTTTCTCTGAGGTTCAGAGCTCTTTTCTGTAAAGGGAGGGCTGGATAAGACAGGGGTGTTTGACCTGTGTTTCACAGAGCCCAAGGACATTCCGAGATGGATCTGAGGCAGGGGCTCTGGAGCTCTGGGAGGCAGCGTATAGAATCTTGGGCAAAGATAGACACATTTTTCTCCTGAGTGGGTGTGGGACTTTTATCAGGCGCCAGAGGTAGTCTCAGGAATCACTGTTGGGGCCTATTCCCAGTCTTGATAATTATCCAACTGGCCTCAGGTCCAGGTAAGTTCTCTTTTAAATTCCTCCCTCCTCTTTCCAAAAAGAAGTTTCCAAAGAGCAGTATTACTGCCCCATTTTCTTCAGCCCCTTCATTCTGGGAGGCTTCCCAGAAAGGAAGTGAGTCATAAGAAGGCACAGGAAGGGGACATGAGTCAGAAATGGACTACATCCTGCCTGCTTGCTATGCAATAACCCAGGTAGGACAGACTGGGGACCAAAATGGCCCATGTCTGTGAGTGCTTGCAGTGCCCAGCCCTGTCCATCCCACCCGCCAGATGCCACGGGGATGCAAAGCTGACTTGGCCTCAGACACTGCCTCAAGGACTTGCCTTCTAGAAGGCAGATGAAACAAATCTGCAGAAAACGGTTACTGGTGAAGGGCCATAGCAGAGAGGCAATATGTACTTGGGCCCAGGGGAAGGAGGCCCATCCCGTTAGGGACCAAGGATGGCCTTGCTGAAGAGAAGGCTTTGAAGGAAGAAGACGGTTTCACTGGGTGGACCAGAAGATGACCAGAATGCTATTTCAGGCCATGTGGACCCAGAGAGAGTGTAGGAATATGCTCCAGCTCAGCAGGGAACAGAATCAGCTGGAGGGTAAAGGCTGGGATCTGGGAGAGGATGGACAGTGGGGGAGGGGGGGGGGCGCGGTGGTGTGCACACTAGGCTAAGTGACAAGGAGCTGGAAGACCAAGGAGAGAAAATAGGACCACACTGATCCCGCTAAAGGGATGGGGTTGCAATTCCCTGGAGCCTGACAAGACAAAACAGAGGCCATCAGAGAGGGTTGCTGAGGGTCCGAAAGCCTCACCCTTCTCACCCAACCTTGGACCCTAGGAGGGAACTGGAGTTTGAGTCAAAGTAGGGCTGGCCTTTACAAACAGATACAAAATGAGGGCTGGCCTAATGACCTCTTTGCATCCACACCACTCCCCAAGATCCTGGCTACTCCTCAGTTTTGTGAGCTGCTAAGTACCTCAAGGGCCAAGAGAGTCCTTTTCAAAGAAAAATCAGGCCTCAGGCCATGCTCTCAGTCCCTGGGGCTGGCAGCTCCTGATTGTGGGACTTGAGGGGAACGTTACCCATGCCGGAAGCAAGTAAAACGACTTCAAATGACCCTTGAACAACACAAGTTTGAACAGCGCAGGTCCACTTAGATGCAGATTTTTTAGAGCATAGTACTGTAAATGCATTTTTCTCTTCGTTGTGACTTAATTTCATTTTTCTCTAGCTTCCTTTCTTGTAAGGATATAGTACATGACACATATAACATACAAAGTCTATGTTAATCCACTGTTATCAGGAAGGCTTCCAGTCAAAAGCAGGCTATTAGTAGTTAAGTTTGGGGGGGAGAGTCAGAAGTTATATGTGGAATTTCAACTGCACTGTGGTTGGCACCCTTCATCTCCACATTATTCAAGGGCCACGTGTAGTTGGAAGGACCCCCATAGGGACTGTCAATTCCCAGAAGCCGACTGTGGGGCATGGACACATGGCCCAGGATGCATCTCCAATCTAGTTCCCTTAACAGCACAGCAACAGGGGTGGCAAGGTAACTTATTTTTGTACTGACGTTGTTCTCGCACTATTTTTTCAACTCCTGATTTCAAGGAGGTAGCAAGACTTTGTGCTTTCTTGCCCTTGCTGAAAACAGGTACTGTGTGAAGACTTTTGCCTTTCTGCCTTCTTGTTTTTCTGAGAACAGAAGAGAAAAGCTCCCAAGACAGGTGGCAGTGTATGAGGAATAGGAGAAGCAAGGGGCTGGAGGTCAGAAGAGGGGAGATCACACCAGACGTGGAGAGACAGGGACCCCCTGTGTTTTGGAGAAAAGGTAAGGTCTCAGAAGGAACAGCTATGGGGCACTTCTTGGGAAACTGAACCACAGGGACCAGGCTTGGAAACGTTCCGATACTCAAGAGTGGCATGAAGATGGCAGTCCCCAGGCATCCTCGGACCACGTGGCCTCAGGTAGCAGGCATGTCGGAGGGGAATAAGGCAGATCAGAGGCTGGAGGGAAGTCCTCTGATGTTTTTGTGCCATCATCCCCAGGATCTTGTTTTGGTAGTTGGAGGAGTGGAGAGAACCCCAATACTACCAGAGATTGAATTTTCCTAGCATCCGGCAGGTCAGAATCTCAGAGCCAACTGGTTTAAAGGATCTAATAAATTATGACATTTCTAGACCATCGCATTACATGGTTGTGAGTATATTCCCATAGACACAGGGAGGAAAAGTACAATGTAGAATTTTAAAATGCCTTCATTTTGTTAAGAATAAAATTGTAGGGGTGCCTGGGTGGCTCAGTCAGTTAAGCGTCTGACTTTGGCTCAGGTCATGACCTCATGGTTCGTGGGTTCGAGCCCCATGTCAGGCTCTGTGCTGACAGCTAGCTCAGAGCCTGGAGCCTGTTTTGGATTCTCTCTCTGACTCCCCTGTTCATGCTGTCTCTCTCTCTCTCTCAGAAATAAAAAAAAAACAACATTAAAAAAATTTTTTTAAAGAATAAAATTGTAATAAAAATTGTTTTGTTTCCTTTTGTATAACTGAGGACTAAGAACCCTACACAGTAAAGTCTTCTCTGACCTAGCGATGCTTTGTTTATGCAGAAAATGTGCTCTGAAAGGCCATTCTTGGAGCTGACGAGGGAACAACTAACGGGATCAGCTCATCACTTAGACAAGGTAACCAAGCAGCAGTGTGTCTCTGTCCTCTTCAATGGCAGAGTTTGATTTCTTTCTAGGATTTCTTTGTATATTCAGTGTAAACCAACAAGAACACTTTCATAACACTACCTAAGATAGAAAAATCTGCCACATCATCTTTACTTCTAGGATTAAGTAAATTGTTTGGAGCCATGAAAAAGGCTTTTCTAGAGAAAGGTGTTAGTTAATGAAATATGTGCCTGTTGTTTTTCACTTGAAGTATAAATGACAATAACAATGTAATTATGTTTTCTTTTTTTTCCCCTCCTCTATTTGTTCTCCAAAATGCTACAACAGAGTCAGGATGGTGTTTATCTCTCTTGTGTAAAAGTTGAATGAGCCAAGCTATGGAGAAGTTATAAATATATTAAAAGCATCTCTGGTGGTTTCTAACTCAAAACACAAGGCAGACCTCTGCTGTACCCTCATTGGGGAGGTTGGCCCAGGAGGGCAACACGGTGGATCAAGTGAAGCAGTGTAGTGCTTACCTGCGGATGGGGGGCCCGGGGGGCCTGGGGGACCCGGACGGCCAGGTTGACCAGGAGGCCCAGGTTTGCCTGGTGGGCCCATTACTCCACTATCTCCCTTCTGCCCCTGACAGAGAAAGGCAGAGCTGTTATGATAACATGACATGGCAAATTTCCTTCCACATTTATGTCTAAATCAGATACCACCTTGCACTTTGGAGCAGGAGCCCAGGGCAGGATGCAGCCCCAGAAGCCTTGACCACCAAACTCCTAAAAAGCCCAGGGCAGGGACACCTGGCTGGCTCAGCTGGTAGAGCGTGTGACTTTTGATCTCAAAGTCGTGAGTTCAAGCCCCACAATAGGCATGGAGTCTACTTTAAAAAAAAAAAGCTCAGGGCACGTGACATTTGAAATTAGGATGGTTACAAGTTTGTAGACGTTACTTCTTGCTGTATCCTAGAAACATGGCACATGACTGCTGAAAGGAACCAAATCCAACCCACTCCCCTCATGGGGCAGAGAAGGATACAGGAAAGAGAAGAGATTGACGTAAGGCACCTAGCATTGAGGCAGCAGACTGGGGCCTGACTCAGGGCTCTGCTTGCTCATCAAGACCATTTCTACTTTACCACAAGACCTGTTTCCATCGAATGGCTTCCGCTGCTCTCAGGATAAAGACCCAGATCCTTATTTCATCTACAAAGGCCTGTATGGTGGGCCTTTCCAGTCTTATTCCAGCCTTTTGGTGTTTTTGGTCTTCAAGAGCACCATGCCTTTTTTCCCCCTCCTCTCAGCCCCAACTCCCTCTCCACTCCTCTGCCTGGTTAATCCCTCCCAGCTTTAGCTCTCAGGGAAAATATCACTGCAGCACAGCTTTCCCTGGTCTTGCCAACTAAGTTCTCCCGGTCACAGGCTCTCAGAACTTGGCCCCTTTCCTGCACCATTATCTGTATGGTCCTTTCATCAATGTCTCCCCATGAGACAGAAGCTCCCTGTGGGCCAGAATTTGTCTTGCTCACCTCCCTTCCCCAGATTAAATGAGGGAGGAGGAAGATACTGAAAACACAAAGGGGAAGCAATTCTGTGAAGCTGGAAGTCAAGAGACCTGGGTTTTCACATTGGCCGTGAGACCCTGGGTAACTCATGTCATTGCTTTGTGCCTCAGTTTTCTCATCTGTAAAATGGGGCCAGTAAGCATATACCTTTGCAGCTTTGTTGTGAGGTTAACAAAGACCACAGAGGTGAAAAACTGCTTTGCCCAGAACCAAGGGCTAAGGAGGCCAAACTGACAAACATAGCAGCTAGTTTGGTTTCATCTTTTTCACATGGTTAGACAAGGCCTAATTTCTTAAAGAGAGTCGTACCTGTAGCCATTCCACAAAGGATGTTCTCTCTGCTGCCTCTACTGAGAGGGTCAAGAGCAAAGGTTTCCTCCTTAGGGCTGCTGTTCAGAATGACCTTAGAAACCAAGATCTGTAGATTCTTTCCCTAAACAATTTGCTAACTGTGTGCTCTTATGCTGGTCCTAAACAGGACAGTGATGGATGCATGACATCTTTGACCTGGGTCTCCTTTCTACACTTGTGGCTTGGCAAGCTTGCCCGTGTAATGAAACATAATCTTCCCCAAGTCTGGGAAGCAGGCAGGCAGGGCACTCCTCTCCAATCACAACAGTGACATGTGACCAGCCGCCTTGTCAGCATGGCTCTGGAGAACCTCTTGGTAGTGTCCAAGGACTTCTTAAATTCTTTTATTTATTTTTTAGGAGTTCTTAAATTCTTAATATGGGACCTGTAAGGTCAGAGTTTATTTCCAAATCCATCCTGATGGAGGGAGTTCTTAAGCCTTGGCCCAAGCTGAAGCTTGGTAACTAAGATGGGTCCCAGAATAGCAAAGGAGGTCACACCATCTGAATATAGCCACAGTTAAGGCTTGTTTTTCTAAAAGCCACATCAGCTATGAGCACAGGAAATGCCACAGCTTGAAGGAGCTGGAAGGCACTCCTTGATTCTGACACTGGCAATAATGGAATATTCTGCATATCTTTCATTTGTTCAGAACAAGCCATGTCTTTATGAGCAGGACTCACTGAGCAGCACTTTCCAGGAAAGGCCTTCTTTACTCCTTTACTGCCACAAAATTCCGTGATTCCTCTCAAAGAAGTTGCCCTGTCTCCTGAACTGAAGATTTGTATCACAGAGTCAAGAGTTGTTTTCCTGAGCCTGATTAAAGGCGAGCACTGAAGCATGTGGGTGAGGAGAGAAGGTGTGGGGAGAGGCAGGTCTCCATGTTCTAATGCTGGCTTGGAAGTTCGCTTGCTGGGGAATCACTCTACTTCCCTGGCCCTTAGTTTCCTTGTGACTAGACAGAGATGAGGTATTCTCTAAAATCCTCCTGGCTGTGAAATTCTAATCTCCTAAAGTCCCTTCTGGATCTCTGATTCCAGGAGTTGGATGGACTTACGTTAACTTCCAGAAACTCTTAGCGCCACTGGCCCAACAACACTTGGTGTACAAGGCTCTATGCTAGGAAACTAATTCATGATTTAAAAAACAAAACTGGGGCGCCTGGGTGGCTCAGTCGGTTGAGCATGGTCATGATCAGCTCAGGTCATGATCTCACGGTTCGTGGGTTCGAGCCCCGCATCGGGCTCTGTGCTGACAGCCAGCTCAGAACCTGGAGGCTGCTTCAGATTCTGTGTCTCCCTCTCTCTCTGACCCTCCCCTGCTCACGCTGTCTCTCTCTCTCTCTCTCAGAAATAAATAAAACATTCAAAACAAAACAAAACAAAAAACAAAAAACTACACCGGTGGGCTCCCAAAGCTAACAACTCAGGTCTCTGCCGACTAGATAGGCAGGGAGGGTTCGGAGCACACCCAGCTTGTTTATAACATCTTGTAGAAAGGATGAGCTCATTTCTCTGAGCTCCTGCACATGGCGCTGGTGTAGTGTTAAGAGTGTTCCAACTGAATCATTCTCAACAGTGTGAAGGAATAGCCTTCTTGGCTCCAGCCTTCACCAGGAAGAGACAAATGCCATCCCAGAAGAGCACTAGGGGCACAGAAGCCAGTAGGCTTCTTGAACTTCAAGCATAAAACCATCTTCTGTAGGGGATCAGCAGTAGGGAAGAAAAAGATTTTCTCTTTTTTTCCCCTCCCTTTTCAGAGCCTAGTGTTTAGGGTGCTGGTATCTGTGGCATCACTATGAAGTCATGGACATGCCAGTCATTGTAAAACTTTGAAAACTGAACTGGAATATTAAGAGTTCACAAGTTGTAGCAGAGTTTGTATTATAGGTTAGAGCCTGTGTCATTCCTAAGATCACTTGGAAAAGGCCAGAATTGGCTTCACACTGTTACCATTGTTCTGAACGCTGGCTACATATTAGAATCTTATGGAGAACTTTACAAAAAAAAACCCAACCACTCATGCTGAAGCCCCATGCCAGGTCAATTATGTCAGACACTTTAAGAAGTAAGGCCTAGGCACTGGGGACAGCGGGAGGCAAACTTGGAATTAAAACCACTGCACCTGGGGCAGAAAATCTGTATGATTAGCCCCCCAGGTGATTTGGACATAAGCTGAAGTTTGAGAACCATGGACCGAGCCTAAGGAAAGAATGAAGCCATAAGAATGGAAAAAGGTTTGCCCACAAAGATATTTACTTCTCAGCATTTGTATATAATTTTGGTCAGGCCTCTCCTGTCCAAGCAGTCTACTCCTTTACTCATTTACAAAATGTGACGCAGACACTTAAAAAAGCTTAAATAAATATGTGCAGTAATGAGCAAAAACACGTATTCTGTGGCTTTAAGTTAAAGTTTTAGGATACAACAACTAGATATTGGGTATGAAAGAAACTAACAACTCAAACGTTCACAAAGAAATAATAGTGGAAGGAAACACACCAAAATGCTAACAGGGTTATGTCTGGGTGTTAGGTCTTCAGAGGATTTCCCTTCTATTTTTCTGAATTTTCCAAGTTTTCTGTGATGATCGCATATTATATTTGTAATGGAAAAAGAGGTGAAAAGCCTACAAACAGATGACCAAAGAAGTAAAGGAATAATGCCTGTCCAGTAGAGAAAAGGCGAGAAGTTTCTCTGAGGTACTCAATATAGCTCTAAAGGCAGCTAAGGCAAATGTGCCTTCATCTTCCACCCCACCATCATGTAGTTTGATATAGGTGCCTGCTCACCAGGGGGAATTCAGAATGAACAATTTCCCAAAGCCCTTAGTAGTGCCCATAGACTCACTGACAGATGGGGGGCCCAAGTAGGGAAAACCACTCTATCGTTGAGAGCCAGAAGGCCCTTCAAAAGCAAGTTAATATTTGGATGTTTGTTCTCCAAAATATTTTGTTCTCCAAACCTCCATTTGTGTCTGGAGCACTGAGGCCAAAAGCAAGTTTTCTGGGTAAACAACACGATCTGGCTTCCGTTCCCCGGCTGCTTTCGTTAAGGTAGATCTGTTCTTATGACCCAAAGATCCACTGCTGCCTCTGGCCTTGGACACTGAATGGAGTGTTCTAGCCCATCTGCCTCGAGCCTCGGTTAGCCTAGAGAAGCAGGAGCTCCTGGAAGTGGTGCTCTTTCTGCCCACCAGCCTAGAGGACGTTGGGGACTATACCTATGCTGACTGGCTCCACCTGTCTGCCTCTCTACACCACCTGAGTACATCAGGTGACCTCAGGGGCGTGGTAAGCACTGGGATCCTTACCTGCTTGCCTCGTTTTCCTGGTCTTCCTCTGGGTCCCCTGTGTCCTGCTATCCCAGGCTCACCCTTTGGACCCATTTCGCCCTGGAAAGAAGAAAGAGAAGGAAGAGAGGAATTTGTGCCTGTGGAGCAGGCATTGCTCTACAGGTCCATCTATAGACAGACCAATTGTTGGTCATGAGGGTAGTGCACTTGATCATTCCCAGACCTTTTCCAATCGGACAATCAGAGAGACTGGGAAAGTGATGAGGTCATGTGAAAGGTGGATAGCTTTTTCAAGGAAGAGGAAGGAAAGAAGATCACCTTGGGTGGCTTATTTATTATCCAAGAGAGACAGCTCCTGGGCAGCACACATTTTGGTGTCTCAAATCACCATCCCAAAATGGCCAAAGTAGGAGATTCTTGCATTTCAGTGATATGTATGCCTGTGACACTGTGAGCTACCAGGGGAAAATGCTTTCTTTGAGTTGCAGTTTTATGTTGTGCTGGTGTTTTGTTTTTAGCACAAATTCAAATCTATGAGTTTTTGAATGCCTGGACACAGTTTTGACAACCATCGTCTTTGGAAAGTTTCTGTTCATGTAATGACCTTTATTTAGGGTATACACTTCCCTACTCTTCCGTAAAAACCGGCTGGAGTTCTAGCTCACTCTCATTTGATTTAGATGCAAACTGTGGGGGGAAAATGTTCCAGACATATATTCAAATGCTCAATAATTGCAAAAGGCAGGGGGAGCAGTACTTCTAATTGAAAAGCTCTACTTTGAATGATCAGAACCAAATGCACCCATTGAAGGATTCTACGGTTTAAGGCCAACCTTTTGTAAAACCCATTTCTCCATTATAGTTTCTCTCTTTCCTCATGTTCTTCTAGGATTCCAGGCCCGCTTGCTGTTTATTTGGGTCATGGACCCTACAGGACATCATTCCTACCTCCAGTTGTCCTTCTACAGCCTAGAATGCACCACCAACGAGCTAACCTGAGCAAGAGCAACCATGGAGGTTTCTGTTAGTCAGCATCCAGCTGCCCTGGGCGCTAGAACAGTAAACACCAGGTGGGCTCTTCACATGGAAGTCAGAGGAGGTATAACATAATAGAAAATTTCAGGAAATGCTAATAAAGAGTAAGGATCAAGAATACAGCTCTGAAATGATCAGTCACTTGGCCAGTTTAACAAATTGGCCTCTACCTGAGCCATCAACATCTTGTCACATCAAGAACTGTCCTTAAACCTGTGATTTCCCACCAACCTGTCATGTTCTCCGGCATCTGGCCAGAGAGAGGATGGGAGAGCAGCACGGATTCGATGTGGCTATGTGCAGATGTATGCACCATTTTCCTTGGTTGTTTAGAGGAGGTCAGGGGTGTTTTGTTTGGCTTGGAGAAAACAGCAGCAAAAACAGTATAAGATTTTTGGGTTTTTATTTTTTTAAGATTGGCAGAAGGAAGTGTGGCCCCTCTCTTCATCAACTGAAAGCAGCCAGCAAGTTCTTGATCTAATTTCTAAGACCTAATTACCGTTATCATATCATCTCTGTCTTAAAACAGCCTGCCATGAAGGGGAAAGAGAACTCTAGATGGCAAGTCTAGTAAATGGTGCAGAGGCCAGCTGTCATACTTAATTCCACATCAATTTATTATTCTTTGATGTTCACTGTTGAACTGAATGAAAACCTAGCCTAATACTTTTAAATCAAATTATTTTTTTTTCTCTTTTAATGTTTCCTTTAATTTGTTTACATAATTATTTTTAACCCAACACTCCACCTAGAGAAAAGCAGGAACAGTTTTTTGACAGCTTAAGGCAGTGATGAAGAATAGTAAATTAGTGTCAGATGACTGAAATTATTTAAATACGCTCTACTGATAGCAGGCTAGATAAAAAGTGTTTATTCAAGTTTGGAAAAGAAAACTCTAAGATATTAAACTTGGAAAACAACTAGAATAAGAAAGCATGCATTTGCATGTTTGAAGAGCACTATGTTTTGAGGCTCAGGTGAAAATGACAATCTCCCAGGCCAATGTCTGTAAACATGAGGAACCCCCACTACAAGTTACTATGTTAGATAGAGTCATTCTCAGGGACCAATGCGTGTTGTCTTTATTCTCAGGGACCAACGCCTCCTCTCACCACTCCCCTTTCTTCCCTAGACCCTGACCCTAAGTAAAAGGTTCCAGAAATCTCTTAGTCAACTGCCACTTCCACAATTTTTGTCATATCTGAACAACGCTCTACTGTTACTTGCTGGATATTTTTTGAGGTCAAGTGAATGAACTCCTATTTTTATTAAGCCTTGTTCCCAGCAAGATATCCATGAAATCCCACTAAATATTTAACTATTTAAATGGAAAAATGTAACTATCAAATGAAAAGGGTTTGCTGTCACCCAGTTAAAATAACTCTGCATACCTCTGACAGTACATGTACTGCCCTCCAAGAGGGTCTCAGTTGAGGGTCTTCAGCGAAGGCATTGGGTCAGAGATGCCTGGCCTTCGCACTGGGGCTCTCAACCCCTGCAGCTCAGATTTGATCCATCTGTCTGACGCTTTCTGCTTCAGAACACTACCATGGCCCTCTAAGAGGCCAGAAATGCAAAGAAAGGCCTCTCCACCCAGATGAGGCATCCTTTCCCTCCCACTGAACTGGAGGGAGGTCTCAGACCATGCTGTCACCCTCTCACCAATGTGCACACCAACCTGCTCCCCTTCCAAACCCAAACCTTCCACGGTGAAACCCACTTTCCCTGCCTGATGGACAGAGAGGCAGTGCTCTTTCTGTGGCGTTTTGAAGGTCCGTTTTGTTACTGAGGCCTATTTTTACTACTTCTAAGTACTTACTTTCTGCCCCAACATTCCAGGAAATCCCGGGAAACCCTGTGAAGAGAGCAACACACAGAGTGACTGCCTCTGAGATAGTGCTTGAAAGGGCTGTGGAAGAGTGTGGTTAGTGAGCGCTGTCAGTCAGTCAGTCAGTAGGACCGTCCACAAGATGAGGGTGAGCAGGGACTGCCATTTCCTCTGTAGTTTATCATTTCATGCCATTACCTTTTCTCCTTTGGGACCCAAGTCACCCCTTTCACCTTTGGATCCCTAGGAGGAAGCCACAGGAGAGAGTCAAAGAGTTAATACGCTGGGGTAAAACTGGAGTGTGTCAACACACTCATTTACAGGCAAAAAAAGAGGCTCAGAGATTAGGTGACTTGCCCAGGGAAGGAATGCTTTGTGGTCTACCTTTTATTTGGACCACAAAAACCTTTGTATTAATGAAAGACAACTCACAGAAAATTCTGGGTCCCAGATCCTCTCTCCTCTTGTGGGAAATTTGTCCCCACCCAGGTTCTGGCTGGGTTTGTTTTTTATTTGGTTTGGTTTGGTTTCTGACAGAAGAGGAGGTTGTGTGGTAGAAGCCTGGTCTATGAACAACATCTACCATCTTCCTCCAGTGTACCCCCCAAGCAAGATGTGTTTCCCCTCCACCAGGTACAATCTTCAGCTGCTAATCTACTCCATGGGAGGGGCCTCTACTTCCACTGGGCACTCCTCCCTAACCCATTCGCCCTGCCTTGGGAGGCCTCTCACTGCTCTCTCAGCCCAATGACAAAGGACAGGGGGATATCTAGGAATGGTCACTATACGTGCTAACTTAAGAGAAAAAACTAGGCCTGTCTTCTGCTCATCACTGACCCCAGAGCCAATAGCCCACACCAGGCTTTGGGAAGCCATGGGAGACAAGCACTAACCTTTTCCCCTCTGGATCCAGGGTAGCCCTAAAAGAAAGCAAAATGTGCATTTACGATTAGCCCTATGTAGCAGTTAACACAAAGATGTCCCTCAGGGTTATGTTTATACCAGGCCTAAAATAAACACTGCTTGTCTTACCCCCAAAGGCCCGAACAAAGTTTTCCATCGGCTTTGTTGTTCAGAAGCTTGATCCTCTCCGCCATTACAGGCAAAGAGAATAACAGGAAGGACTTCCCTATGCCCCTGGATCCCAGGCATAGATGTCCCCAAAGGGCTGGCGAAGACAAGCACTCTGGCACTGGATTTTCCAATATCTATAACATTCCCCAAGCCCAGGATGGCAGCCCCACCTAGCCCCCATCTTTGTGGACAGCAGCTGCTCCAGAGCCTTAGTGACAAGATCCGGAAACGTCCGTCTGGACCAACACACTGACCTTGAAACCCATTGGTCCTCTTGAGCCTGGCAAGCCCATCATACCCAGGTCACCTTTTTCACCCTGGGGGAATCAGAAGAAGATGGGGAAAAGGACCAACAGTGACATTTACTAGAGAAACAGAAGCAGGAAAATTGTGGGCAAGATCAGGATAGAACTAGGGTCGCTGGGGCTGGCTTGTGAATCTGAGGACCCCACATGCTCCCTTGTTCACTCCCAGGGGTTCAAGGCTCCATAGTTCACACTTCATTCTGGTATTTGAGATTAAACCTAAAATGAAATTGCCCAAGGCAGAGCAGATCTCCAAACTAAACGCTAAGATGCTACAAACACTTGATCTTATCCTAGAGTAGGTTGTGAGAGGGCGGGGAGGGAGGATGGGGGCACTGGGGTCTCACAGGACTAAGTGTCAACACCCCAAAAAACTTCACCTGTTTTGTTCTCTGCATAGGGAAGGCCTTTCAGGCATTTTCATATATTCTCACCCTAGGTCTGCAGCCAAGTAGAGTGAACATCAGTCTCTGGGCATGCATTACGGAGACAGGGGGCTAAGACTCATGGGCGGGCTCTGTTGCCCCTCAGAATGGTTTGTAGTTGGAACTTTCAGCACCCTCTCTATACCAGTGCTAAAAAGCAGAAATATAAAATGAGCCACATACTTTATTTAGAATGTTTTTAAAAGTTACATTAAAAGTAAAACAGGTGAAAAATAAACGTAGAACAGGTGAAATCAACTTGAACATATTTCATTTAATCTGATTATCACTTCAACATATAATCAATTTAAAGTTAATGAGATATTTTACAATCTGCTTTTTATAATAAATATCTGAAATCTTTTATTTTTACATTTGAATCACATCTCGATTCAGCATTAAATTTTTATCCAAAATACTTGATCTGTATTTAGATTTCATAAAAATTTATACTTGAAACAGCAGATTCACGCATTCAAGTTGCTATAAACATGCTTATGTATTTTCAAATAACAGAATTGAGTAAAGGTTTTTAAATTCAAACTTACATTAAAATTTAAAAATTCAGGTCCTCAGTTGTACCAACCACATATTAAGGGCTCAATGGCCACATATGGGTAATTGCTGCCATACTGGACAGCTCAGCTCTATAAAGTAGATTTTTGGAAAAATATCCTTGGGACTATTCCTAAGAGGACCAGGGAATGCAGTTTTCTAACCCTGTAATAAATACAGCTAGTGAGTGAATCAGAGCAGATAGTGACATTCACCTGCCCATCCCTGATATCTGCAGGTCAAATCTGCACCCGATAGTCTCTGACCCAAGTGAGAAGAATATAAACAAAGGCATGGGTGTGGACGTGTCAGCTTTCCATCATCTGTCTGAAGAAGGGATTTCATAGCGTTTGGCAGTCCCTAGCTAAATACAGGATTTCAGTCTTTCCAGCTAGCCAGCGCCCATCGCCTCAACCCCCAATCTCCTGCACGGCTCTCCAGACACAAGCTCCTCTTGGGTCATTTCAGGGAAAGCAAAGAATTGCATGCTAACTGAGGACAAAGGAGAGCCAGGGCCTCTGTGAAAGAGGGAAGCAGCCCCTCAATTCTCTCCCAACAGGAGCAGAGCTGTTGGATGGACCAAGGTCTTGTACCAAGTAAAGGTCCCCAAAGTGTTGGGGACCTCTGGGCAGTCCTCATCCTCTCTTTACCCTCCTCCTCTTAAGGAAAGAAGTTTCACTATGTGCCAAAGGCCAGGGGCTGACATCTTCTCCCCTCGTGTTCTGATACCACATGAGCCCTCAGAGTGTGCCATACGTACCCTGGGTCCTTCAGGGCCGACGGGCCCAGGCATGCCAGGAACACCCGGGGGGCCAGGTCTACCCTTCAAAAACGAACAACAAAAGTCAGGACAAGTGGGTTTGTTTCCTTCCTTCCAGGAAATGGGATTTGTTGTAGGGGCTCAGAAGGGACCGTGGGACCCCTCAGCATGGCCTCCAGGTCCTTCATTCCCACCCTCCAAAGATTGATAGCCTAGAAAGCTGGGTCACTTAGACATAAGTTAAAGTCCTTGGTGTTACATTACATCAACACATAAGCTCTTATTCTACTCAAGAAACGGAAGGCAGGAAAATTTTTTTAAAAAGAAGGTGATGGAGAAGGGATTCTAAACTTCCTGGCTTTTTGATCTTGATGACCACCACTCACCTGCCCACTGTTCCTTGCATCCCAACAGGTTCTCCCCAAGGACACGGTGTGGAATGGGGTGGGATTTTGTTTGAGGTGCAGCAGCAGATGCTGGTGGTATTCCCTCAAGATCTTTTTCACTTGCTCACCGTGCCCTTCCCTCCCGTGGCTACCTGCCTTGCTGCCACACCTCGTCCCCGCAGCCTGTGACTGTGGGGTCTGCTCACGGGCAACCGGAGCTGCCCATCAGTTCAGGCACCTCTTTTCCCTGCAGGCAATAGCCCAGCTCCCTTACCTCAGGGCAGGACAAACTCTGTGGTGCTGTTCACACACCAGAGCTCCCCTGGGAATGAGGCCGAAGATGGACTTCATCTGATACCATGGCCATGCCGGGCTTCTTCCCCGGCACCATCAGGCTTCCCCTCCCCTCAGTCTCCTCCTGAGAGAGCTCCCTTAATGTGTTCACTTGTACACGGCACTGTGGTCTCTCTCTCTGCTTCTAGGGAGACCAACCTAAGCCAGGAGCTTTGGAAGAGCAAACCTTATTAGAGGAAGTGGGAGCAGGTACTTGGGGTCTATCTCAACCTCTGCACTCACTGCCTTATTTTACAGTTAGCCTAACTAGACATGTGGAAGGCTCAACCCCTAAACCGAGACCACAAATGCTAACATGTGTCCTGGTTTCTACTCTTGCCTCCCACTTTTATGGCAGACATCACTAACCGATCATGGCCCTCATTAGTCCTGAGCACGGAGACCTTTCCAGCCTAGCACTTCAGATGACCACTGGGCCTTGGCTGGAGCTGTGACCTGTGTCCTTGAGGGATGTGACTTTGCTCGCAAAGGTCTGTTTGAGGCTACTGTTGACAGTAAAACCATTTGAATACACCATTTAGCCAAAAAACTGATCATTTGTATTTAGAATCATAAGCATCTTTTTTGGCCAAACTGTTACACCTCCTTCTATCACCGAGACCTACAGTTTCAGTGCCAGCATACACTGACCACAGTGAGTGGCTGCTGGTTTACTCTTTCCTCACCTGAAGGAGAGCATTGGTGACATGTGTTTGGTTCACTCAAGAGTCCCTCTGACCTTAGGTGACTCCTATTTATTTCAGCTGGACCAAAAGGCAAAAGCTATTTGCTTCTGTTTTGCACTTTATTCCAGTTTAATCAAATAGACAGTGAGAGTCATTTAGTGCCACTGGTTGGGGCCTTGGAGAATTTCCCTAATGGGTGGCAGGATGAATGGTCTGAGGTTGGGGGAAATTTGGTCAGGCTTGGCAGCCTCTGGGAGAAGTCCAAATGCCTGGCAGTAGCAGGCTCTTGACCAAAAGAACAGGCAGAAAAAAGGGTTACCTGAGTGACTCAGTCAGTTAAGCATCTGATTCTTGGTTCTGGCTCAGATCATGATCGTACAGTTTGTAGGTTTGAGCCCCGCATTGGGCTCTGCACTGGCAGTGTGGAGCCTGCTTAGGATTCTCTCTCTCTCCCTTTCTCTCTGCCCCTCCCTTGCTTGTGCTCCCTCCCTCTCTCTCAAAATAATAGACTTTTTAAAAAAATTTAAAGAAAAAAAAGAGAACAGGCAGAAAAAGCCCAGTGTCATTAGGATGACAGTGCCATCATTGTCCACCTAGATACTGGAGCCTAAAGAAGTGTACTGCTGGTCACCCTACTCCTAAGGGTACTTGTGAGTGTGCGTGTGCACACGCACACACGCACACACACGCGCGTGCACACACACACACACACATACACACGGAGCATAGTTGCCCATGCAATGCTGACAGAACAGCATGGACCATACCTTCCTTCCTGGTAGGCCAAGCTCCCCCTGTGGATGGAGAAGACAGGTAAGCAGAGGCTGCTTTGGAAGAGAAGTTCTGGAAGCACAGGGCTTAGTAGGGCTGATGGCTGGGCATGACCATGTGGCTTGGTCGCTTGGCCGCTCACAGCACCCCTGCCATGTCAGTGGGCCAAGCTGAAATACACCAGTGGGATCTCACACCTGTAGCAGAAGCCCCCTTATCACAGAGCCCACCCTCGTGCTCTCAGGCAGAATTAGCACATGCTTTGAAATCTCAACCAGGAAATTTTCAGTGGCATCACCAGGAAACAGGCTGGAATTACCAAGGAGGGGTGGACTGAAGAAGGTAGTGGCTCATACCTTTTCTCCCTTTGGTCCTATCTTGCCAGGAAGTCCCGGTGGACCCTATGCAATCAAGACAAGAAATGAAAAAGTCTCCATCAAAACAAGGCAGGATGGGTGGTGAGGGAGGCGTGACCACGAGGGAGGTTCCTGGCGCATCAGTCTCCTCTAGCAGCGTGGCTCCCTATGCAGACTTGGGGCTCCAAGGACCCCGTGAAGGACCCTCTTGTGGCAACCCAGTCTCCTTGTCCTTTGGTAGCTTTCCCTGAGCTGTGCTTCCAGCAGTGCCATGGCTACAACTAAAGAGTCTTGAAATGCTGTTTGCGGAAAACAAGATGCGTCACCACCTCTCACATCTTTTCAGCTGCTCTCAACCAAGCTTCGCTGGGGTCCTGACAAGAGGGAAGTTACTCTTTCTTTGCACACAGGAGCAGCCAACTTAGAAATTCCTGTGCTGGATCGAAGGGCACCAGGTGCAGTGAAAGCCTTCTTTAAAACATTAAGAATGTGGGCAATGGTGCGTTTTGTCTCACTGCCCAGTCACAGGAGTGGGGCTGACTCCAGCTCAGGGATTCTAGCACCCACTACACTAAAGCCTGGCACCCCCATGGCTAGTATGCAGCTGTTTTTTTTTTTTTTTTAATCTTTTATTTATTTCTGAGAGAAGAGGGAGACAGCATGAGCAGGGGAGGGTCAGAGAGAGAGGGAGATACAGAATCTGAAACAGGCTGAGCTGTCAGCACAGAGCCTGACGCGGGGCTTGAACCCATGAACTGTGAGATCATAACCTGAGCTGATGTCAGACGCTTAACTGACTGAACCCCCCAGGCGCCCCGTGCAGCTGCTTTCTGCTCACATGTCTGTGAAGTGCTCAGTTAACTGTTTTCCAAATGCCTCAGTGCAGCAGAGAGGAACTCTATCAACCCCCAGCAGGCCACCACTTTATCCCCACGATCTGCAGGTGAACACACCTAATGCAAAGCCTCTGTGAAATATGATTCCTCTGAGGCTTGTCCAAATGATCAAGAGCCCCCTCAGTGGTTCCCAAACCTATCCGCACACTAGAATCCCCTGAGGATCTTTGGAAAATCCCAACCACGCCACACTCCAGAATCAATTGGAGCACAGGCATCAGGGATTTTTGAAGCTCCCAGATGTACAGATAAGTTTGGGAACCACCGCCTTTATTTATTCTCCTGTTTCGGGGAGGGGAGAAAGCAAAGTCATCACTTCATTTCCCTTCCCACCCTTCCCCTTTTCTGTCTTGCTCCTTGCCCTGCCTTACCATTACTTTCACCTCCCCCCCCCACACCCTCCCAACCCTCTGACCTTTCCCCCCCTCCCTGCTTCTCTCCCTCTCCACTCCTCCTGCTCTGGACACCCTTGTGTGGAAAGAGGGTTTCCTGGGAAGGTGGCTTCAGCCCCCAACTCCCCAGCCACTTTCCCAGTGACCCGCTGGGGGGCTGCGCTGGCCGCAGCACCTGACCTTACCTCAGGGCTGCGAGGGCCAGCTTGGACTGATAGCCCAGGGGGGTACAGGGTACCCAGTCCTTGGGGAGGTGCCAGGGCTCCCAGAAAGTGTGACTCAGAGGGGCAGAGTTCTCTGCTCCCCAAAGTCTGGGAGCCCAGGGTGACAGGGAGCCCCAGCGCAGTGTGCCTGCCAACTGTCCAGTCCCTCGGCAAGGACGAATGCTGGTCCATTCTCTCATTTCTTATTATCAAGACTGTTTTTTCTATTTCTTAAAATGGGCTGGAAGGGTTTTACCAGGCCCTTGTGTTCCAGCTCAGTGCTTTTCAAACTCTGATGCGCAGATGATTTGCGAGGGGGTCTTATTAAAATGCAGATTTTGGGGTGCCTGGGTGGCTCAATGGGTTAAGCTTCTGGATCTCCTGGTTTGTGAGTTTGAGCCCCATGTGGGGCTCTGAGCTGACAGCGTGGATTCTGTGTCTCCCCTCTCTTTGCTCCTCCCCCACTGGCTCACTCTCTCTCAAAAATAAATAAACATTAAAAAAATTTTCAAATGTACATTTTGATTGAATGAGCAGATGTGTGTGAAGGAGAGGGGAGGGGAGAATGAGATTCTGCATTTCTAACAAGATCCCAGAGGATGCCCGTGTCACTGGTCCACAGACCTCATTTTGCTTGGGAACAGCATTTTGCACTACGTTCAAGGGAGTGGAGGTGGCTGCAAATGCCCCCCCACCCAGCGGGGCAGCACATTCTCCAAATGACTCCGGTGGATCCCGTGAGGTTAGAGGTGTGCAAGCAGGCCTGGAGAGCTGCCCGTGTGAGGTCAGCAGAGAATCCCCCTTTCCTTCCCATGCCCGTGGCTCTCAGGCACTCTGAGAGCTACCAGCGTAGACTGCAGGAGGGGGAAAGGTAGAAATCCACCTGGGAGGTGCTCCTCGGGGTCTATGTCTTGCTTTTCTGCAGACTTCCCAGCCCCTCTGTGGCAGCCTCTGGCCATTTCTGGGTTCAAAGTCCTGTTTTGTGTTCTTTATTGCATTCAATAAATATTTATACAGAACTCACAGGCAAAAGAGAACTCACAAGAACCCACACACTGGGCACAAAACACACTGCGCACAAAAGGTAAACCTTTCCTGTAAAGAGGCAGATAGTAAATATCTTAAACTACGCCTCTGATACAGCATCTGTGTCATGGCCACTGACCTCTGCCCTTGCAGCACAAAGGCAGCCAGAGACAATAAACGTTAATTACAAAAACAGGCCGCTGCCAGATCTGATTGGCCATAGTTTGCCCGTCCTTGCCACAGAGCTCATACTTTACAAAAGGAAGACCAAAGGGATGAGGAACAATAACAAAATAAGAAACTAACGAGAAAGTTATGCAGAGAATTAAAATAGGTCATTGGGATGGAGAGTGACAGGGGAACAGTACTGTAGACTGGGTGGCTGAGGAAGGCATTTCTAAATTTTTTTTTTTTAATGTTTATTTCTGAGAGAGAGAGACAGCATGAGCAGGGGAGGGTCAGAGAGAGAGGGAGATACAGAATCTGAAGCAGGCTCCAGGCTGCGAGCTGTCAGCACAGAGCCCAACGCGGGGCTCGAACCCACGAACCGTGAGATCATGACCTGAGCCGAAGTCAGACGCTTAACAGACTGAGCCACCCAGGCGCCCCAGAAGGCATTTCTAAGGAGGTGGCCTAGAAACTGTTCAGAGAAATGAAGGAGCTGGCCGTGGTAAAAATCAGAGGACAGAACATTCCAAAAAGTCTGAGCCACAAGTGCAAAAGCGCTAAGGCTGGAACAAACTTGGTATGCTTCAGGACCCAAGGGATGTGTGTGGGGTGGGCAATGCTGGTGGTAGGAGACCGTGTAGGAGGTACAGGCGGGGTCCTCCAGAGGCGCTTTGTAACACAGGGTAGAGTTTGGCTCTTAGTCTCCTGTGATGGGAAGCCATCGGAGGGGTTACCCAGGAGGGGTGACAGAATTCCTAAGGCACTTGGGCAACTAACTGCTGCCTGTACCCTCTTTCATCTCCCCATGGCAGCCCCCGAGCCCTAGGCCAGGGAGTGGGCCTCCTTGCTGGACCCCCTCTCCCAGGCAGTCCAGAGGAGAGGAGCCCGGGTCTGTGAGACAGCATCTCTGCAGGGTACGCTTGCTTGCCTAGAAAAATCCTTTCCCTAACATTTCACCTGTTCCTCACTCTTCCCTTTAGCTTTAGTTGGGGGGACAGGGCAGGGGCTACCTGGTCACAGTATCTAATGAGGTTCAGACTAACAAGTTCCCTGCAACCTCCACTTTCCTGCACCAAATGCAGGCACTTCTTGGTTTACTGGGGTGTGTGTGAGGGGGGGGGTCAATGGTCACATAAAGGGCAACCCATTGTCATCAAGTGCTTGATGATAATTATAATAATAATCATACCCATCTAGGCAGCAGGTCTTCTGCTCACCACCACCCAAATCCAGTACCATGGGAGTAATTATTATCCCCACTGTAGGCAAGGATCTCAAGGATGGGAGGCCAGAATTCGCCCAGCGAAGAACAATCAGTGTTCTAGCTTCATGGCTCTGGAGCTGGGGGTGAGGTAGGGAAGGAAAAGCAGCCTCCATATCACGTTGAAAAGAGCAGCTCTAAGAGACTCTTCCCAGTGGGTTTCACTGCTCTGAGCAGAAGACAGCAGGACAGGATCTGGGGAGTGCACCAACCTGGGGGCCCGGGGGCCCAGGGGAGCCAAGTGATCCTTGCACACATGAGGACTGTGTGGTTTCCAGTTCCAGGATGAGATTCTTCATGTCTGGGGAGAGAAGCTTCAACACAAGCAACACATGGTCATAGGTCAGCCTCAGCCTCGGGGGACAGAAGAAGGGTCACCACCCTGGACACTGACCTGCATCCCAATGCAGTTCCCAAGACTGCTGGTTCCCTGACACCCCAATGGCTGACCCAAGAAGATGACCTTCTGGACCCCAAGTTCCTGTTCTCTCTTGAAACGTACCTGGCTTGAATGGATTATAGAGATAGAAGACCCACCCTGGATGAATAGGAAGCTCATTTCAGGGGCCTTTACTTAATGTCTAGGACAGCACTGTCCAACAGAAATAAAACGCAGGCCACCAGTGCAAGCCACACATGTAGTTTTAAATTTTCTGGTAGCCACATAAAGAAGGTAAAAGAAGTAAAATTAATTTTAATAACAGATTTAACCTAGTATGTCCCAAATATTATCATTTCAACATATATTCAGTATTTAAAAATTACTAATGAGACATTTCACATTCTTTTTTCATACCAAGTCTTCAAAATCCAGTGTGTATTTCATATGCCCAGCACATCTCAACTCTAACAAGCCACATCAGAAGTGTTGAAGCCACATGTGGCCAGTGGCTACTGGGTTGGGCAGTACAGGTCTAAGAATTCCCAGAAAACTTTGAGAATCTCAAGTCCCCAAACTATCCTGGCCTGTTGTCTTCTAGCTCAGCTTCCCAAACTCTGTTCCCTCTCACACCTTAGTATGACCATTTCCGGTGGCCCCTCATAGAAACAGCCTAGTTAAACATGGGCTGTGGAAGGGAATTTCATAAATACTTGAGAAGCAAGGGAAAATTCTGTTCTGAGCAGCTTAAGGGAGCTGAGGAAGTTATAAATTCACCTCATCGTTCTCAGGGATATAGGACACTTGGCCAAATCCAATTCCTGCTGACAAGAATCTCCCTCTATAACTTATTTACGACAGTGGGAGAATGGACACACACGAGAAACTGTAAAATGCCCATTCTAGGGTTCAACCTGCTACGTGGAGTAAAGGGTTGGATCCATCAGAAAGAATCCGGAGGCTGTTCACCTCAAGTGGGGGGAGGTGGGGGGCTGTGTGGCGGGCACCGGGGAGCCCATGTGTCTGTTCTCTCATGAGTCTTGAGGTACTCACCAGACCTCTGCCGCCTCTGAAGAACGGTGGTGGGAACAGCGGAGGTGGAGGGGGCGTCAGGAGGCAGCACGCTCTGTGGCTGCCACGCTTCTTCTGGTCCAGGCCTGGAAGGGCTGTGCAGAGAAAATGGCTGCTCGTAGCCCCAACAGTGTCAGGGTCTCTATCTGTCCCCTGAACCCTAGGGAGACCCATGCTGCAAACCCCAGATTTGTGAATCTGATTTCCAGCCCTTTAGATTTTAGTGTACTGTCTGTTTGCTACTGGATGCAGCCCTCCCCCAGCCTCTGCTGAATGAAGACGGTTAATAAGCAAGTGGATGGTATGGACACCATGACCATACTAAGGTCCATCTCTCCTTCTTTAAGAACTGACTTGTCACTTTGTAGATGTGTAGACAGGGAAAGCAAAGCCCACCCTCATAATACACCTCTAATAGCAGAGGAGAAGGAAGTATGTGTTAATTCCTTTGATGGTGCACTCAGAGGGAGGTTCGTGGAGGGGACAGCCAGGGCCCGAGGTGGCGTGGACTGTATGAGACCCAGAGCCCTGATTTAAAACACACTTGATTCTAGGCTCTGCACACACATTTGGTGTCATCCATGCTCATGAAAGGATTACAGTCTAATGACTCAATACATGGGTGTGAGGAGATGAAGGAAGGGGCCTTGGTCCCTGAAAGCTTTATTGAACATTGGTCTTGCCCATGTTCAATTTTATTGTGTGTTCAACGTTGAAGTATACCTTACAGAAAGGTTGTAGATCGTTAAGTACACAGCCCAATAGATTTCTGCAAAGTGAACACACCCTAGAGGCCGGCCCCTGGATCAAAACACACAACCCTCCATCATCTACAATCCCTGTAGACTCCTGTCCAATCTCTGCAGGCTTCCCTCTCTACCATCCTGACTTCTAATCCCAGGGACTCATCATATCTATTCTGGAACTTTATATAAACAGAATCTGACAATACAAACTCTTGTGTTGGCTTGCTCAACATAGTGTTTGTGGGGGTCGTTTGGGTTGTTGTTTATAGAAGTTAGTGCCAAAGAGAGTTCCACTGTGTGACCAAACCACAATCTACTTATCCATTCTGCTGCTGCTGCACATTGGGTTGATAACCTCCACACAGCCCACCAGAACGGGCTAAAGTAAAAAGGACAGGAAGTAACAAATGTGGGCAAGAATGTGGAACAAACGGAACTCTTATACATTGGCTAGGGGGAGTGCAGTTTCCAACCTCCTTGGAAAACTGCTTGGCATTGTCTACTGAAGCTGACTACAGGAATCCCCAGTAGCCTAGCAGTTTCACTCCGAGGTGTTTAGCAACAGACAAATGGACATATGTTCATCAAAACATGTGTACTAGAATATTCACAGCATTAAATACCCACAATCACCAAAAGCTGTAAACTTACAGTTCCCAGTGTGGGTCTCATGATGGTACCCTCACCTTCAACCCTTCATTGAACCGCTGACTTTGTAGAACTTGGGCAGGTCACTCACCACATGCCTCTGGGGCCCTGAACCCAGTTTCGGTCTTCTCTCTCGGGGGCCTGTGCTTGCTTACTGTTTCAGCCTGTGCTCCTGCAGACATCAGGCAGCTGGCAGAGGCTCCCCAGGAACGGCTTCTCCATGCACACCCACGCACTTACTCCCTGATGGAGGAGCATTCCACTGGCCTATCCCAATGGTCCTTGGCCCTCTCCCAGCCCATGCCTCCTTTTGTAAGAAGTATTTTGTAAAGACCCTTATATTATCCTGAAATGAAATTCATAAACAATACACCATACATATGCAATTTTAAAAATCAATATAATCTTGCAGCAGCCAGATGTGGAGGTGGCTTGTCAGGGCCACGGAAGTGGTGAAGACAAAAAGGAAGCAACCCACGCAAATGGTACTGGGGAGAAAGAAACCGAAGACCAGTGTGCCACAGGAGTGAAAGGGGGGGAAGAATCGAGGGTGGCTTTGAAGTGGCTGGGGACTGGGACATCAGTGACCAGAGAATGAGATGGGAGAGTCCAAGGAGGTACTGGTTTGTGGGGAATGCTGTCAAACTTGGTATGAGATATTTGTTCATTCAAGTACATGCTGTGTTCGGACACTGGGCCAGGCCATGTGGGGGGGCAGAAAGAGGTCTAACTGGTGCCCCTGACCTATAGACAGTAAGGCCTGACTGGCTGCCAACACCCTTCCTCTCATATCCCACCACTCCCCCTGACACCTAGCCCGATTCTGGAGACTCTTACTCACTAATCAAGAACTGGCAGCTGCTGCCTCTACCAGGAAGCTTTCCTTGACTTCCCAGGCCAACACTGAGGGTCCTGCCATGGTTTTCTCTGGGTTTACCTCTCTGTTACCTCTTACCCATGAGGTAACACAGTTTCCTTGTATCTTCCTGACTATTGCACTTTCTGGGAGGATGGAAGCAAGTTTTTAATCCCCAGGTTCTAGTACAGTACCTGACATACACTAGATATTTCACAAATGTTTGCTGAATTAATAATAATAATACCCAAGACACTACATGCTGAGGCACCGCTGTATGGTTCACACATAGAAATTCACCTAATCCTCAAAGCAACCCTGAAAGTTAAGTGTATTGCTATCATCATCACCCCCATTTTACAGATCAGTTAGCTGAGGCAAAGGCTAGCAGTCTGGTTCTAGGATTCTTCTTCTTGAGCTCCACATTCAGCTACATGTGGTGGGAATGTGGGAAATAAAAGTCAGGAGCTCAGAAGAAGGCAAGGGGCTCCCATAACAACTACCTGAGGTACAGTAGGAAGCGCCTCCAACCAAATGCCAAAAGGAACACCCTGTAGCTGAACGAAACTGGCTTTGTTGACTCAGTGAGGGAGGACACACACCTGGGGGAGCCATGTGGCATCTTGCTAAGAGGGTGCCAGAAAGGACTTATTCTAGAATTTGGGGTGGGCTTTCACTTGGTGATACTGAGGGAGACTCTGAGGAAGGGAGTCTGGCTTTGCTCTGGACCAGACTCTGGCAGGGAGCGAGCGCTCGTCTATGACTGCCTTAGTTCTTATCTAGAAGAAGAGCAGAGCAGAGGGAGACTGAAGCTGTGGTGAGTAAAGCAGCAGCAGTCACTCATGTTGGCAAGGATTGAGGGGTGGTTGGCCATTTTTGTGGTTGGACGGTGGTCTCGTTTTCTTCTGTGTCTGATGGTGACACAGTGGCCTGGTTTTGTTTTGGTCCATCACAGTCACAGACTTGCCCTGTCTGAGGCTGTTCTAGGACATTATTTTTGTTCAACAGAACACCATTCCACCCGTCACGGGCCACTTCTCTCTCTCAGTGGTAAAATAGTATAGCTACGTTGTTATAAAACTTGACATTAATGCCAATCATATTCCTCTTCAAATTCCTCGAAGCTTCTTTGCTAGAGTGCTGGGTAAGCTGGGAGGGGCAGCTTCCATTGCCCCACCCTGCCTGGACCATGTGGTAAAGGTGATGGACGGGCCAGCACTCCAGGACCATTTCAACGCCACCCCGGAGGCAGTTTCTCCTTTGCTGCTCTTTGGCCTCGGCAGACAGCTAAGGGCTGCGGTTGTGGGCTTTCCACAAAGCCTCCCCCAGCCAAGAGCACCTGGGAAGCTGGAAGGTTCACGTGGCTAATTTACACTCCTCGCCATTTATTTTTCCAGACCATATATGGCCTCCAATGCCTCGCTTCACCCCACATTCTGTGTGGTCTTCCACTAATGACAGACTCTATCATCTGAAGCAATTCTCTTATTTCTTCCTGGAAACTGTAGAACTCTTCAGCGAACATAAATTATCAATTGCTTCTCCTGCTGAGGCATCTGTGGTGTTCACCTCTCCCCATCCCCTCTCGCCCTTTCCCCCTTGACCTTGACTTCACTTCCAGCAGGTGAAGAGCATCTATTTCTGCCCACCCCCAACTCCCTGGAGATGTTTGTTTTTAGCACAGACTAGTTTATTTACGGCTCATTCCAGCTCAGAATATTTCCATCAGGTGGATGTGTTTGTGAAAAGCTTCCCACCCCTCCCTCTCCTCCCAGCCAACTTGAGCCAGGACTTCACATGTCTATTTTGGTGTTGTCCAAGTGGCCTGTGAGTCTCTTTCAGGACTGTGATGCCTCTATGGAATCATGTCTCAGCCTAGGGTCCAGCTTGGAAAAGGCCCCAGCAGGCTTTGTGGTAATGGAAACACTTATGCATGTATGAACACCGGGCCTGCAGAAACCTGGGTGCGCCACGTGGCTCTGACCCAGGCAGCTGCCTGGGAAATGCCAACTACCATGGAATTTCAGGACTACTTGCCCTGACTTAAAGCCACTGAAGTCCTACTGTACGTGGCCGCTGTCGTGCCAAAGCATGGGTAGAAATAACACTGGGTCTTAGGACAGGCTTTGGGCAACTGTTTGGTTTTTGTTTCTGTTTTGTTTACTATTACAGATGCTGACTTTGCCCTTTGCACTCAATGCCCACTTGACTCTTGGGCACATCCTTGGAAAGTGTGATTCACTTGAACTTACTTCTGGAAATATAGGGAGTTGGATCAAAGAGTAGGAGTCGGGGTTCAAGTGACCAAGTGACCCAGCACAACTCATTTCTGAGACTTGGTTTCCTTACCTAAGCCCAGACCATCTGCAAATTCTGTTTCCATACATATTACACCAGGATCACCACCATGTCCATCTGCATCTCCCACTCACAAGACCAGCCCATCAGCAAGGTATGAAGGACAGCCTTTCTGTTTCTGTCTCCTGTTTTTGTATCAAGCAGTCCCCTCCACCACCATTCTCTGCCCAATCAAGCAAAAGCGTCATCAGAAGCCACCAAAGGAGGGGCACCTAGGTGAGTCAGTTGGTTAAGCGTCTGACTCTTGGATTTAGCTCAGGTCATAATCTCTCAGTTTGTGGGATCGAGTCCTGTATCAGGCTCTGTACTGATAGCACAGAGCCAGCTTGGGATTCTCTTTCTCCCTTGGTCTCTGCCCCTTTCCCCCAACTCAAAATAAACTTAAAAAAAGATCCACCAAAGGAAGGAAGTCACATAAATACCCTGCCTTTGCAGGATGGTAAAATTCCAGGTGCAGCCATATACTAACTATTCTGCAACCGTTTAT